TTCTCTTTCTGTCTCTCCCTCTCCTTTCCACTCTCTCTAAAAAAAATCAATGGAAGCATATGCTCAAGTGAGGATTATCCAAAAAAAAAAAAAAAAAAAAAGATTTCTCTTCCACCCCCTAAAACACTAAATTTAAGGAAACATAAATGTTCCATTTTCAGGACTCAAGGTTGCACCTTGATTTTAATTTTCTTTATAGTGTTCCAGTTAAAAAGGCCATGAGAACTCATTGTTGACCTGTCTATACTTCAAGTGCACATGACACTTTTTATTTTATAATTATTTTTAAATTTATGTGGAAATTCTGTTAACAAAGCATTCAAGCATTGAAATAAGCAGCCACTTTCCTCCCACCTTCCACTATGAGGTGATGTTGACGACTGCTGAGTAGGAGAAGGTCAGACAAGATTTGATAGAGGCTTCACATTCACACGTTCCTTGCTCACAGGCAAACCACCTTTCAGAAACAGCCACAAATGAGAAGTGAGAAATTTGGCTCTGGGATTAGCTGTCCTTGGTTAAAAGTACCTTTCAAATGACCAATCTGAACGAATTCTGTGGTCCCTGCTTGTCATTTTAAACTGATTTTTATGTACTAGCTTTTCTGCTTCCTATTCTGTTTATCCTTTGGTTTTAGACATGAAATGGCTCTGCCAGGAGAAAAATCTCTATAACGAGATTTGCCAGTCAAGGTAGAACATGATAAAAAATGAGCATCATCACACACATAATGGGAAACCTCACAGAAAGACAAATTAGAAAGAAAAATGTCTGATATGTCTATTTGTTCAGCACATTTCCAAACAGGAAAAGATCCAGAAAAAGGAGGGAGGAGAAGAAACTCGTCCTAAGATCAGGAGAAAATCAACAAGGCACCAATGGGACAGCCTTGGGGGGTGTTGTCACACATGCCCGGGTATTTCATCACAGGTCTCCCTCAACACAGCTTTCTCAACACTGACCAACAGTCAAACCATGTCTGTCTGGGCAGCACAGCCAGCTCCACAAGTTAAAGGATCTGCTCAAACCAAACAAGAGGATGCAGAAATAAGTGGAAACGCGGATGAAGGTGTTAGGGCTGTGCAATGCATGTGCTAGGAGTTCTCCCAGCAGAACTTGTTAGCGAGTCACAACTACACCATTAGGCAGAGGGTAGAAGAAGCAGCTTCAGTACAGTACCTGGTGTGTCACTTCCCTCCCCACCCCAGGTCAGCCAGAGCCTGGCATTCTTACTCAGAGGGCCCTGGAAATGGAAGAAGTCAGCTACCCAGGCACTTCTACCATTCCACCTAAACCTTGGAATTCCCCAGGGACAGGCTCTCAAAGTGATGCCATGTCTTTGTGATTCACTATTTCCAGTCTTATAATAACCCTTCCACCTTAACTGAAATCATGGTGGCCAAGGAAGTCATGTGACAGATGCTTAAAACTAAAGACTGTCCAGAAAGGACAGGCCTCCCCCACCCCTACCCACGCATTGCAAAAAAAAAAAAAAATGTGTTTGGGGCGGGGTGCGCTTGAGTGACTCTGAGTCACAAAACAAAGAAGGGCTGTGTTCAAGGTAAAGGCTGAGCAGAACCAGGCCAAGCCCGGCTGCCTCAGGAGTAGGAGTTTAAGGACATGGGCAAGTGTTGCAACAGAAAGTAATACTTCTTGCCTTTGCTACCCAAAGTTCCACTTCTTTCAGACAGCCACAGACATTCAGGCAGTTGATGTTTCTTAGGGTAAACATAGGGCTTCTCAAAAAACAAATGCCCAAATAATTGCAAGGAAAAGGCGGGAAAGGGAGAATGAGAGGTGACTCCATAGCTTTTAAAGGACTTAAAAAACTTATCAACTAACGAACTATCCAAGGAAGAAATTAAGAAAACAGTTCCAGCCCCAGTCGGTTTGGCTCAGTGGATAGAGCCTCCGCCTGAGGAATGAAGGGCCCCAGGTTTGATTCTGGTCAAGGGCACATGCCTGATTGCGAGCTCAATCCCCAGTGGGGGACATGCAGGAGGTAGCCTATTAATGATCTCTCTCATCATTGATGTTTCTATCTCCCTCTCCCTTCCTATCTGAAATCAATAAAAATATATTTTTAAAAAGAAAACAGTTCCATTTGCAATAGTGTTCAAAAGAATAAAATAGGTGATGAATAGGTGGAGAAGAGAGGACTTTTAGGGCAGGGAAACTACTTTAGATGACATTATAATGGTGAATGCTTGTCATTATACCTTTGCCCAAACCCATAGAATGAACACCATCAAGAGTGAACGCTGATATAAACAATGGACTTTGGGTGATAATGATGTGTCAAGGTGAGTTAGTCAACTGTAACACATGTTCCATTCTGGTGAGGGATGTTGATAACAAGGGAAGCTACTCATAATGGGAATAGGAGGTATATGGGAAATCTCTGTAACTTCTCCTCAATTTTCCTGTGCACCCAAAACTCCTTTACAAATAGTCTATTTTTTAAAAGAGTAGAATACTTAAAAATAAACTTAACCAGGGGGGTGAAAGACTTGTACTCTGAAAACTACAAAACATTGATAAAAGAAATTAAAGACACAAATAAATACAAAGATAGCCTACACTCATGAACTGAAAGACTAATTACTCTTAAAATGTCTGTACTACACAAAACAATCTACACATCCAATGCCATCTCTATCAAAAGCTCAATGGTATCATTTGCAGAAACAGAAAAAAATTCTAAAATTCATGTACAATTTCAAAGGACCTTGAATGACCCAAACAATCTTGAGAAAGAAAAATAAGCTGGAGGCCTCACACTTTCTGATTTCAAAATATATTATGAAACCACAATAACCAAAATAGTATATAGTACTGGCATAAAGACAGGTATATTGACCAATGGAACAGAAGAGAACCCAGAAACACATCCTCACCTATATGATACAATGATCATTGACAAAGGTGCCAAGGTGACACAATGGGGAAAGGATAGTCTCTTCAACAAATGGTGCTGTAGAAACTCAATAAGGATGAAAAAAAAAATGAAGCTAGACCCTTACCTTATACCAGTGGTTCTCAACCTTCCTAATCCCGCGACCCTTTAATACAGTTCCTCGTGTTGTGGTGACCCCAACCATAAAATTATTTTCGTTTGCTACTTCATAACTGTAATTTTGCTACTGTTATGAATCGTAATGTAAATATCTGATAGGCAGGATGTATTTTCATTGTTACAAATTGAACATAATTAAAGCATAGTGATTAATCACAAAAACAATATGTAATTACATATGTGTTTTCCGATGGTCTTAGGCGACCCCTGTGAAAGGGTTGTTCAACCCCCAAAGGGGTCACGACCCACAGGTTGGGAACCGCTGCCTTATACCGTATACAAAAATTAACATGAATTAAAGGCCTAAATGCAAAAACTGAAACTATAAAACTCCTAAAAGAAAATATAGGAGAAAGCTTTGTGATATTGGGATGGACAATGATTTCCTGGATATGGCAGCAAAAATACAGGCAACAAAAGCAAATATAGACGAAGGGATTACATTAAACTTAAACACTTCTATGCAGCAAAGGACTCAACAGAGTGAAAGGCAACATACAAATTAGAAGAAATATTTGCAAACCCTTTATCTGACAGGGGTTAATATATGGATAACTCCTGCTACTCAACAACAAAATATATATATACAAATAGCCTAATGAGCAAAGGACTTGAATAGACATTTCTCCAAAGAAAAATACAGTGTCCCCCAAAAATGTATACATACTTTAACAGCCAATAGCTCAATTTTGAAAGTGAAATGTACACCTAACTGGTTTGGCTCAGCGGATGGAGCGTCGGCCTGTAGACTCAAGGGTCCCAGGTTCGATTCCGGTCAAGGGCTGCGGGCACATACCCAGTAGGGGGTGTGCAGGAGGCAGCTGATCGATGTTTCTCTCTCATCGATGTTTCTAACTCTCTATTCCTCTCCCTTCTTCTCTGTAAAAAAATCAATAAAATATTTTTTAAAAGAAATGTACTTTAATAAACACTGCCTTTATAATTATTTTAAGTATGTGTATACATTTGGGGGGACACCCTACATTAAATATCCACCATTCATATGAAAAGATGCTCAACATCATTAATCATCAGGAAAATGCAAATCAACACTATAATGAGATATTACTTCATACCCATCAGAATGGCCACTATCAAAAAAACTGAAAAATAAGTTTTGGCAAAACTATAGAGAAATTGGGCCCCTTGTGCACTGTTGGTGGGACTGTAAAATGGTACAGTGGCCATGGAAAACAGTATAGAGATCCTCAAAAAAATGTTTTAAGGAAGCCCTAACCAGTTTGGCTCAGTGGATAGAATGTTGGCCTGCGGACTGAAGGGTCCCAGGTTCGATTCCGGCCAACGGTATGTACCTTGGTTGCGGGCACATCCCCCGTAGGAGGTGTGCAGGAGGCAGCTGATCGATGTTTCTCTCTCATCGATGTTTCTTACTCTCTATCCCTCTCCTTTCCTCTCTGTGAAAAATCAATAAAATATATTTTTAAAAAATGTTTTAAGGAATTACCATGAAATCCTGGCTGGTGTGGCTCTGTTGGTTGGGTGTCATCCCGTGCACCTAAGGGTCGCTGATCGAATTCCCAGTCAGGGCACATGTCTGGGTTGTGGGCTGGATCCCCAGTAGAAGGTGTGCAGGAGGCAGCCAATTGATGTTTCTCTTTCTCTCTCCCTCTCCTCTCTAAAAAAAAAAAATCAATTAAAAATATTTTTTAAAAAAGGATTACCATATAATTCAGTAATTTCACCTTTGCATATAATATTCAAAAGAATTGAAAACAGGATGTTGAGAAAATAATTTGCACATCCATGTTCATTATTCACAATAGCCAAGAGGTGGAAGCACTCTAAATGTCCATTAGGGGATGAATGCATAAAGAAAATGTAGTTTTGCCCTAGCCGGTTTGCCTCAGTGCATTGACCTGCAGACCGAAGGGTCCTGGGTTCGATTCCTGTCAAGGGCATGTACCTTGGTTACAGGCTCCTCCCCATCCCAGACCCTGGTCAGGGCGTGTGCAGGAGGCAACAAATGGGTGTGTTTCTGTCTTTCCCTCTCTCTTCCACTCTCTCTGAAAATCAATGGAAAAAATATCCTCTGGTGAGGATTAAAAAAATAATAATAATAAAACAAAATGTAGTTTATATAAACCCTAATATATTATTCAACCTTTAAAAAGAAGGAAATCCGCCCTAGCCAGTTTGTGGATAGAGCATTGGGCTGCGAACTGAAAAGTCCCAGGTTCGACACTAGTCAAGGGCACATGCCCGGGGTTGTGGGCTCGATGCCCAGTAGGGGGCTTGCAGGAGGCAGCCAATCAATGATTCTCTCTCATCACTGATGTTTCTATCTCTCCCTCTTCCTTCCTCTCTGAAATCAATAAAAATACATTAAAAAATAAAAAGGGCAGAAAGCCAAAAAGGGGGATGGGGAGGAGGAATGTCCGGGCTGAGGGTGTCACCTCTTTTGAGTTTGTTGCCCATAAAACGAGAAAGTCGTTTTTATTTGAAGAAATCTGCAGAAAACAAAGCTTCACCCCCCTGAAGCTCAGTTGATGGCCCGACATGGGATCCCACAAACCTCGGGGCCTGCTTTGGCTGGTGTCTCAGCTGAACCAGGGGCAGCTGGAGGGCGTGGCTTGGCTGGACCAGAGCCGCAGGCGCTTCCACATCCCCTGGAAGCAGGGTTTGAGGCAGGATGCCCAGCAGGAGGACTTTGGCATCTTCGAGGCCTGGGCAGAGGCCAGCGGTGCCTACACTCCTGACCTGCCAACCTGGAAGAGGAATTCCAGGTCTGCCCTGAACAGGAAGGAGGTGTTGGTTTAGCTAAGGACCAGAGCCAGGACCCCCACGACACACACAAGAACTATGAGTTTGTGAACTCAGTTGGGGACTTTCCTGACCTGGAGGCTTCTCCAGACACCGATGGCAGATTCAATACCTCTGACACCCAGGAAGACATTCTGGAGGAGTTACTGAAAGACATGGACTTGGGCTCAATTCCAGATGAGGGGGCCTCGAGCCTCATCTTGCTGAG